AGTCCGCCCTGAGGGGCAGGCAGGCTGTGAGCAGAGGATGACCACACCAGGCTCAGCCTGCAGAACCAGAAGGAAGGACAATTCATTTTCTCACAACTTGGCACTGGAAGAAGGAAAATTCATTTTCTCACAACTTGGCACTGGCCAAGACCTGTTGCTCCTCAGGTTAGAACTCTCAGAGCCTTCATCTGCCACCCAGATGAAAGCCAGGCGGCAGCTGTCTCCCTAGATGCTCGCCTCCCCTCTGATTCTGTGTCCCTAGCACTAGCTCCGCCAGCCCACTGGCTCCTGGCATCCCAGGGGATCTTCGGCAGGTCCCCTACTTCCCACAATCATAGCTCCAATGGTGCCTTCCCCAGGAGGCCCTCTGTGATCCCCTAAAACACCAGAGCAAGACCCCACCCAGGACACCCCTCCCCACACCACACTTTCTTCATTTGCCTTCACATCCCTGTTGTACCGGCCCTCAGGGACTGACTGTGACCTTACTGAACATCACACACGGGGGACACAGTTCTCACTGAGTGGGACATAATTAGCTGCCTCAACACAGCTTGGAAGGAGGAGCAGCTGCAGAGTGCCGTGCTCACGGACCAGAGCCCCCAGCATTGGTAACGTTCATTCCCCCAACTTGATCTCTAAGTGCTAGAAAAGTGCAACCCAAATTGCAGCAGGCACCTTGACAGAACTAGCAGGCTGCTTGCCAAATTGGCATGAAAATGCAAAGACCTAGAATGGCCAGGGCATCAGGAGAGCAGCTTCAGCAGGCTCACGCTACACTGATGTCATCAACTGCTATGACGCCACAGGAATGAAGGCCTGGAGTAAGGACAGACAGGCCGGGGCTGGCAGAGTTGGGACGGAGAACCTGGCTTAAACAGCAGGCGGTTACATCCTCCAGGGCGCACTTGCTGTTTCCAGGCGCAGCACCTCTAGGGGGAGGGCGGGGGGCCTGGTCCTTATTCTGGTGTCACTGTACACCAGACTCTTCAAATCACAGGGAGAACTATGCATCTGTGCTTTTTTTCAGATTAATATTAGATTTACTGCTTTAAATGTAGAGGCCCTTCACCTGTGAAAGGATTATCTGAAAGTGAAGAAGAACATACGACACATACTGCATGTACAGCTAACATACAGCTTTCATGTAGGTCCACCACCCGTCAGCCAGGTGGCCAGGGCCCGTGGCCCCAGGGAGCAGCCACACTGCTGGCACGCTGGGACAGGAAGACCTCATTTGGGGTCTTCCTTCCGATGCCCTCATGCCCAGACTGACCATGAGCAAAAGAACAGCCAGCCCCAGACTGGGTGACACTGTACAAATGCTGCCTAGAACTACCACTATGTTCAACAGCTGGGCAGGCCTGAGAAAGCAGCAAGACCAAGAAGAGCCTAGGGGACATGGCAGCAAAATGTCCTGTGGTGTCACGAATGAGGACAGACAAAGGACGTTAGGTATTATGGTTTCTGTCTAGATGTCCCCAAGGGCCTCGTGCTCATACATGGGACTTGCAGATGGTGACCAGATGATAGGGTTGAGCTGCCTCAGTGTTAGAGCAGAAGAGGCAGTCCTTGGGGGCATGACCTGAAAGGGTCTCTGCCTATCTGTCTGTCTGTCTGTCTGTGTGTGTCTCTCTCTCTGTCTGACTCTGTGTCTGTCAGTCAGTCTGTCTCTTTCTCTCTCTATCCCCCCACCTCCTCCTTCCTCCCTCCACTTCCTGTCCACCATGTAAAATGAACATCTCCTTCCTTAAATTGTGGGAGCCAGGTATTTTGTCCAAATAAGAAGAAAAGGACTAAGACATTAAGTAAAAAACTAAAAAAAAAAAAAAAACAAAAAACCAACCCTCAAGAATGTATGGACTCTGCTTAGCAGCCATGTGTCAGTGTAACTGGTTCATTCTCACTCAACCCCTGTGCCACATGGTGGAAGACACTGGTACGATGAGAAGTGAGTGGGCGTGCGGGAACTCTCCATCTGTATCTTATCAGGATGCAGAGACAAAGGAAGGTGCTTCCTCTCACCAATCCCTTCCTGGCTGTGTCCCACCACCAAAAGCTTCCTCCCTTCTCTGACACATTTCCAGATTTAGAAAACCATCTCTCTTATCCTTAGCACTGCTGTGACCAACCCTGGGTGACACCGGCACCCTCTGGGGCCCTGGTCCCTCCCCACCCCTTACACATAGCCCTTTGTGAGCCTGCCTCCTGCCAGTGTGCGCACGGTGCCATCTATCCATGTTGGCCCCTGACGCGTGCACCTGTGAACATGGGAGCCCAGGAGGGCACAGTAGCCTAGTTCCCTGGGGTTTGCCCAGCAACAGGTCTCGTCTCTGCTCCACAGAGTCTCCTGTCCTTCTCAGAGCTCAGGCTCCCTTCTCTGGCACTCCATGGCCAAAAACAGCTGCTCAGAGTGTTCCTCTTGGAAACCCCTATACTCTTGAGGAATTCTTAAACTCTATCCTTCTTTGGCCTGAGCCTCTAATACTTGTTTAGTATTCTTAAGCTTCTCTGCTCCCCCTCTAGCCTGACCTCCTCGGTCTTTTTTTCCTCTTTCAGGTCCTTGTTTACCTTTGGTCCTTCCCAGCTCCTCCAGATTATGAGTTAAGGGGGACGTGCCTACGTGTTCACAATGCCATGAGACGGAAGCGTCCCAGATGGCCCTCAGGAGCTGAGTGGATAAAATGTGGTCTATGCAGATGATGAAATATTATTTAGCCTTCAAAAGGAAGGGCATTCTGACACATGAGACTTGGATCAACATTGGGAACATTATGTATGCTAAGCGAAACAATCTAGCCACAGTGGGAGAAATGTCATACGATGCGACTCCCATGAGGCATCTAAAGTAGGCAGATCCACAGTGATAGAGTGACATGGTGGTTGCCAGGGGCCAGAGCGAGTGGGGAACAGACAGCTACCGATTACAAGATGGAGAGTTTCAGTTTTGCAATACGGGGAGCGTTCTGCTGCCACATGGTGGGATGACTGAATTCAGCTGTGTGTGCTCAGTGCTCTGGTGGGCGCCTTCTGGAGGGCTAAGGTGGTGAGTTTCATTATGTCTATTTCACCATAACTCTTTAACTAAAATAAAAATACATGGGGAAGACGTGGTGACAAAACAAGTCCCCACTGTGGTGCGTCTGTGGCAGTGCCCTGGGAGCTGAGCCGCTCCTCCTCACACAGGAACAGTGCAGGGCTCGGACAGGGCTCCAGTGGGCCGCAGGGGGCAGGGACCTGGGAGGGACTGGGAAGAAAGGAAGTGGGCATGGCCCATCCAGGATTCACGGACTCAGGAAATGTCACAGGATAAGCAGATGTAAATCAGGGAAGACTGAGTTGATAAAGAATAACTATGAGTCACTGTTCAGTGTTTAGCCTGTGACTAAGCAACCCTGCCACCCAAACAGGACCTAGTACCTTGGGCCACCCAGCCCTCTGTGAAGTCACTCTGTCCAGGGCTGCCAGTGACAGGGCTCACAGTGGAGCCCTGCCCCTGCCCTGGGCACTTGGGCCACCACCACTTCCCCAGGGAGCTCAGGGCTTGGGTGGAGCATCACCAAGTGAATGGACCTTGTTTTCCATGTCATAAGGTTGGAGCAGACCATCTGGAAGGCGTTAAGTGCTCGCCTGTTTCCAGATGTTAACCCCATTTTAATTGTGATGCAGCTACTGAGCACATTCCTTGCCTGTCCCCAGTACACTGCCATATGCTGAGCAGGGGCCATCTGTGAACAGAGGCGACATCTGCAGCCTCCTGTCCTCCTGAGCATGTGGGTGCTGCAGACTGCATATCTCTGAGCAAGCTGCCCTAACATTGTTACCTAGGGCTGGACTGCAGCTCAGTGGAGAGCTCCTGCCTAGCTTGCACAAGGCCCTGCCTTCCGTGCCCAGCACCGCACACACCCGCACACAGACACGCACACCCGCACACAGACACGTGCGCAAAATGGTCTGCAACTTTGTTTCTGGCACAATTATCAGTCCATTTGAATAAACGGCCTGAAATGCTCCGTGTTGAAAGTGAAGCAAGGGAGACATGGCTTCTCTGCTGTCCCCACCCCATGCACCTCAGTCACTGCCACCGTCTGCCTCTTGTGCCCCGAAGCTCTGCCTTTGTGACATCTGGGAATGCTTCTGCTTTATGTGCTGGTGACAGGTGGGGCTCTGGGAATTGTGGGAATGAAAGCAGGAATCGGGCATGCTCTGAGGGGTGACTCCCTGCATTGGACAGGAGAGGAAACTGAGTCACTGGCTTCCAAGGGTCCTGGCACTACAGCTCAGATGGTGGAGGCTCTGGACAGGGAGGGAGGCCTGGGGACCTGGGCATCAAGAACATGGGTCATCACTTAATCTCACATCCCTGGGCCCTGGGTCTGAGTGTGAGGTTTCCAGCCCTCTGAGGTGATTCTTCAACACATACACTGTCCTTCAGGAGATCATGGCAACTGGCACCCTGCGGGGGGGATGAATAGCCAAGCACAATGTCGCCATCAGTTCACAGGTATCCGCTGCCCTGTGGGACCTGCTGGCCTCAGGCATGAGGCGCTGGAGGATGCTTCACTGTCTGAGTCTCCACAGCGGCTCTCAAAGTGTGTTCTGAGGAATGTTGGAGTCCATGAGAGCAAAACATTTCTTCATCAGAACTGTTAGCTTAGGAAAAACAAGAAAAGCAACCACAACAACAAAGCCCTCCTCTCAGGAGGGCACAGTAGACTTTTTCAGAAGCCACTTGGCATCTGATGACATCACCACTGTGGCACTGAAGGGTAGAGTGCTTGTGTACCTACCGGAACATTTCCCAACACGGACCCACGGACCCAGGGGCACTTGGTACACTTTACGGTACACTTTGAGTGTGCAGAGGGGTGTTGGCGCCACAAATTTGGAGAGCTATGGGGCTAAGGGATGGGAGGTAGGACAAAATTATGACAACCAGAGAGCTGTGAGAAAGATCCAGACACAAGCCATAATCATCTTGGTTTGGTTGTGTTTTGCAGGAAAAACTGCATAGAAAATCTAATGGATGAAGATGAGAAAGACAGAGCCAAGAGGTAAGCAGGGGCCATGCTCCCCACTCTGCAGCGCCCTCTGGGGGTGTCTGGTGCTAGTTAACACCACTGCAGGGCTGGGTGCACTCACCCCAACCCAGCTCGTTCCCCTGGCTTTATGTAGAGTCAAATTAGCGCATTAAAGCCCTCGCTGAGCCCTTTCTGGGTGCGGACCACCCAGGGCAGCACTGAGCACTTCCTGTTCACAGGTTCAGAGCCTCCGGCCTGTGGCTTGGGGGTGTCAGCCTTTACACCACGGTTGGGTCAACCGGAGATGCAAGCTTGGGAGCTGCTGTGATGGTGGTCTTAAAACCCTGTGTGTTTCTATTCCTTCATGGGACATTCACTGAACAATAACTAGATACAAAGAATGGTCGTGACACTGACAGCTGGAAGGCCAAGAATGCCTGCATGTCACAACCACCAATGAGCCACCCACGTAGGCAGTTCCTTGCTCAGCTCTGGGGAAACTGAGTGACAGGCTTTCAGAGTGCACAGGAGAATGAAGCGCTTGGGCAGCTGCTACAGATCGGTGGGGTCCAGGCCACAGGCCAGCCCAGACCTGATGGACACAGATCTCCTCCCTCCCAAGATCTAAATCTGCAACAAATCAGGGAGTCTGGATTGTTTTAAACTCTCTCAGTATTTCCTTAAAGAACAATCTGAAAGTGGAGGTATGGATCAGGGGCATGGACAGAGTCAGGCTGCTGTAGGAGAAGGACTAGTCCTAGGAACTTCTGCTTTGACCTGATTTTATTCTCACCTGATCTTTTTTATATGCTTGAAATCCCCACAATAAAAATTCAAACAAACAACAAGGCAAGTGACACCCACCTGCTTCTGCAGCACCAGACGTCCACCCCATCGCTAGGAGCCCTGGCTCCCTGCTGCGGCGCTCTGCAGACTGCAGGCCACATCCTGCAAGGGTGCCTGACCCCACACAGTGAATGACGAGACCGCAGCAGAAGGGCCTGGGGACCCGGGCTTCGTCTCTCTCCAGGATACGCTGGCTTCCCACGCCTCTCCCCAAGGTGCTTCTCCCTGGGTTCTTCCAGGAAGCCATCAAAGCATCCTGAGCTAGTGGATTTAGCACACTTCCTGTGTCTCAGCCTGTCTTCCCACCTGCAGTGTGAGGGCCGTCATGTCTGTCCTGCCTTCTGCAGGGCTTGTTTGGGAATCAGCCACGAAACACACCAAGTAGCTATTTTCAAGTAGCAATGACTACATGTGATTATACCAGGTAGGAAAATAATGCTTTACCATAATACATTTGCAGGGTACTAGTAACAATGTGGAAGAGCAGTGGCCAGCATTCACTGGCCACTCCATGCGCCCTACCGCCCCCCATCTCCTGGTCAGACACCCTACCGCCCCCCACTCGCCCCTGGCTGTGCTTCTCCACCTGCATGACCTCCTGAACCTCTGTGAGGTACATGTTGGCCTTCGTCTCCTTTTACAGATGAGGATACTAAGGCTCAGTGAGGTGGAGAAGTCTGTCAGAGATCAGAAAGGTCTTGTGAGGGACAGGTGGGAAGTTAAACAGGGGTTTCCATAATCTTATGTCATCACTGGGCCTGGTGGCGCACACCTATAATATCAATATTCAGGGCGCTCAGGCAGGAGGACTGCCAAGAGTTCAAGGTCAGCCTGAGCTACATAGCAAGACCCAGTCTCAAAAAGCAAACAAAATACAAAACCTGTTAGACTCTGCTCCTACCTCTCAAACTGTAATAGATTCTCTTCACACAAGATCAAATTCAGGCCGGGTATGGTGGCACACGCCTGCAATCCCAACACTCAGGAGGCTAAAGCAGGACTGCTGTAAGCTCAAGGCCAGCCTGGGCTACAGAGTGAATTTAAGGCCAGCCTGAACTGTATAGTGAAACCCTGTCTCAAAAAGACAAATAAAATAAAATAAAAATAAACTCAGCCTCTCAGGCCAGCCCAGACTAAGACCTGCATTTTGATGTTGCTTTGGAGTCAAAGGGAGTTTTGTTTTCGCCATTGTCCCCCTTCATGCTTCCCTCCTAAGCCCTCTGGCCCCGCCTCGCTACCCCACTGCTCTCAGGAAGAGAGATCATGCGTGGTCGTGTGCTCGCATGCTCAGCATTCGCCAGATGTCGGTGTGCCAGAAACACCTGTGCCAAAAGCTCTGGTGCTAAACCAGATTATGTCCAGTTTACAGCTTGGATCTGCTGGGAGACAGCGGAAACTCTCATGCCAGCCTGGTCGTGGGAAGTACAGTTCCTGGAAGTGGTTCCTGAAAGGAACATAGGGCCATGGGCTGCACCGAGTCCCCTCGCTTTCTGCCTGGCCAGCCTGTGCTGAGCAGGCCTCCTCTCATGCTCCCCTGCTGCAGTGCACTGGGCCACCGCAGACCCAAGCAGCAGAGCCAAGTGACCATGGGCTGAAGCCTCGGACACCACGAGCCCAAAAAGTCTCTCCTCCCCATAAGCTGCCATGTTGGGTGTTTGTCACAGCAGTGAGAAGCAGGCTGTGTGGCTCATTCTCAACCCCATCTGCTCTGGGCCATGAGCACAGCTCCATATTAGTCAGGTGCCTGTTGATAAGCCCCCCCCCCCGCCGCCGCCGCCAGACTTTATAAAGAAGAGAGATTTACTTGGCACCCAGTTCTAGAGGTTCAAAGGCAGGAGGTCAACATTGCCTGGGCTCTGTCAAGGGTCTTGTGGCAGATGGCATCAGAGGGTGAAACCCACAAGGGAAATCACAGCACGGGCCAGGAAGCCAGCGAGTGCAAAAGGGTCCACCAGAGTCCACCTCTTAGAGCCTACCTCCTTCACGTCACTGTATGGAGGACCACGCATCCAACACATGGACCCTTGGGGGGAACCACACCCAAACTGTAGCGCTGCCCCCACCTAAGACATCTGGACACCACCCCTTCGTCAGTGCCAGTGTAGAAAGGCCATTACCCCTCTCCTCCATTCTCAGATGGCCAGTGGGCTTGTGGTTTTCAATAGTTATCTAGAGCTTTTCGCCAAAAGGGCAGCACCAGCACAGGAGCCTTCCTAAGATTAGGAGAAAGCAGACCAATCCGAGACCATGCCCACCGAAAGCTTCTACTTCCCAGGTTTTGTAGCAGCAGCATGGGGGGCAGGCTTCCGAATCCCACTCCAGGCCCTGACATACATTTGTTTTCACTCACACCAAATTCCTTGTAAGATTAGAGATGTTCAGCCCAAGATCAGAACCTTCATTATCTCGAAAGAACACACTCTGCATGAGGCCAGGCTTGTGAGCTAGCAACAGTCATGGTGCGTGTGGGTTGACAGATCGCATGTTCTGAGCCAGCCCTCAGCTCTACTTCGTGCCGTGAGCTTCCGTGGAATTTGGGCAAGCATTCACCAGTGCCTCCATTGTGTGTGCCACCACGTGTGACAGCCAGCATGTGTTCACAACTCTGTGATGTTTCTTTTGGGCAAGGTGGTAGACAGCACCTAGTGGGAAACAGGTGGGCTGAGCGATAGTTGGCATCCCTGGGTGACAAAGTCCAGTACACCATTTCCCGTTCTTCATCGTTCCGAAGTGATGTAGCACTGCAGGGGGCCGGTTCAAAGTGGTGTGGCCTAGCAGGAAGTGCGAAGGCTCTCACGGAAGACAGACTTGGCGAGGGATCTTGTGTGGGTTACCTCTTAGCCTCAGTTTCTTCTTGTGTAACATGGGGATGATGACAGTGGCAGCTTCCTGCATGTGTTCTTGCAAGGATCCAGTTCAGCTGTATGGGAGCCCTGGGCACCACGCTGAGGCCAGTAGACAGGCACCATGACTCCCTAGTCCTGCAGTACCCTAGAAATGTACTGTACTATTATTATTATTGACATTGGGATGCCCAAGCTCAGGGACCACACAGCCCAGTCAGAGGCAGGCAGGGCTTCACATCAGAGCATCAGATTTTCCATTCTGGGTTCCTAACTAATCCAAGGGTAGGGACAGTACGTGGTGATAGGAATCCTTGCTACCTAAAGAAGCCAGGTTTCTACAGGTTTGGAGTCTCAGCTGATTCTGCTGCTTGGGGAAAATAAGCTCCTCCTGGCAGAGAAGAATGTGCCGCTCACTGGCTTCCTTCTTTGACCCAGTATTAAAGGGATTCAGGACCTCCTTGCTCCAGGAAGCTGTTCCCACAGCCCGTGCATTTAGTGGAGGGTGGGAGGCAAGTTTCTGACAGAAGAATCAAGGATGTCCAACAAGATTAGTTGATTCTTGGGGTTCTCAGAGGAGTGAATGCTGGTTCTGAAACACATGCAAAGCCTTTTTTTTTTTTTTTTTTTTTTTTTTAAATTCTTTGACCCCAATCCTTACTCTCATTGTGGATAAATGGTTCAGGCAGGAGGAAGGACACAGAGTCTGGCAGAGGCAAGCTGTCTGCCACCTGGAGGCAGGGTCTTTCTTCAGGTCCCCCAGGTGGAGGGAAAGGAGGCGAGGTAGTCTGTTGATGGGGACCAGCGACTGGCCCAAGCTCTCTACGTGTGTTAACGAAGGCTCAAGGGGGACACGGGGCCTTGGCCTGCCTCTAATGTTCGCAAGTTAGGAAGCCATTCACAAAAACAAGCGCCAAGGGGGAAGCACCCCTGCAAAGGCTGTCAGCAAAGCGAGGACGGGATGGAAATGCCACCTCCTTAGCCTCCTGCTCTCAGATGGGAGAGGGCCAGGGACCAAACGCACCACAGTAATGCCATTTCCTTATTTTTATTAGTGCGTTTGCAGTGTGTAGTGGCTGTGCTCACTGCAGCGAGTTGGCACACATGCAGTAACATGCCTTCAGGCTTTTTTCTTGCTCTTCCCTTCTCCCTCTCCCCTCCCTTCATTTCTTGGGCCCCTTCCTGTTTGCAAAAGATCTGTCTACCTATTTCCTACTATTTTTCATTTTGGTTTCATTTTACATATAATCTGAGTTTGTTGTATAAAAGAAACTATATGATATTTAAGCCTATGATTTATTTCATTTAACGTTGTGGTCTCAGGGCACGTCCATTTTCCAAGCG